CCGTGAATATAATCATTACCCTTACCATCACGATAATTAGCAAGGTATATTCGTTATCATAGCTACTGCCTTTATTACCCACTGACCATACAGTCTGCTTCACCTGAGAAAGTCCTTGAGACTCTTCCGAAAGTCCTCCCTCTCCTCCTCCGACGAAGGGGACGGCGGGGAGGGCGGCCCGTCGGGGAAGTAGAGCAACACGCACACGAACAGCAGGAAACTCATGCCGAAATCTGAGCGAAGTGGAAAGGAGGTAAAGAGGCTACCTGTTGCCCTTGCGAGACGATTTCAGTTGCAAGATGAGAAGTGTTTGGTGGCTAAGGAAACCCAGAAGGCCTTTGTCACGAATCCTAAACTCAAGTCATAGCCCTTGAAGAGCTTCACTCACGGATGTACATGAGAATCGTGATGTCTTTGCGAATGTCCTCCTGCAGGACGTCCTCCCCGGGTGCCCTCACCACGAGTGGGCTGAGGTACATAGTTACTCCTCCAAGCTGATTCAGCAAATAGGCGACAGCTTTGTTCGGCGAGAAAAAACTAGTTATCTAGACGTATAAAAGGGTATTTTCCTCCTGTAACTGTGTGTGAAATACTCATGTTTCATGTTATCATATGAAATGACTCGCTTGCTTAGGAAGAAATATTTAGAAAAAAGGCAACATATTTGTGACTACATAAGTATCCTCCAGATGGCAAATATTTCCCAGAAATGTGACTGATGAGCAAAATACAGATTAAAGAGACCTATTGCTGTTGTGCGTTCACCAGGAGAGAACCAGGCGGAGGCGACAGTGCCGATCTGGGGCAGGAGGGTGCAGAGAGCCACTCCCATCACGATATTTCCGATATGGCAGAGTCTGGCAGATGTGCAAGAAAGATCTTTGTAGTGATTAGTGCATATGGTAGCACAGTATCATTATTACTCTGTTCCTGTGGTCACTCGTAACTAATCAGGAAAAAAACTCACATAGTGAACGTAAAATCGTCGACCGGAAAGCACCGTATGATCGTACTCGCTGACGTAAGACCGACGCTAAATAGTGCCCCTTTGCGCAGCCCTACAAGTCAGACACAAGGCAATAAATATAAAAAAGAATATGATAAATGGAGACGATGTGCTATTACTGATGCTGTTTATCGGTGTATGTTCACTTTACTACAGCATCTTAATAATAACAGAATTCCTTACAGCAACGAAACTACCTTGGTACTTTCGGTAATGCCTTAGAAAGTTGCAAACCGTGAAAATTAGGAAACCGCATCCTGTCTTACCTATTCGTTGTACAAAGCTGCCCAGAGGAAGCGTGAACAGGAGCTGAATAAGGGGAGGCCAGTTGCTGAAGGAGGCGGCGGTGTTCGGGCCCCAGTCGGGGAAGGCGACCAGGGCGGACTCCACGATGGGACCCCAAGTGCCCCACACAGTCAGCTGCAAGAGGTATGTAGGATTCAGCAGGAGAATGAGTTTTTGTTGCATTTTCAACCCATATACGACAAAACGTTTTTTGACTCCATTAATGACTAAATCTCCTCAAAGCCTTTTCTTAGATCCCTTACACAGTCACAAAGTAATAATAATGAATTTAATTAAGATTACGAGATCTTCCTCAGGAGATTAGGCTGGTTTAGTTTTGGTGTACTAAGGTAGAGAGAGAGAGAGAGAGAGAGAGAGAGAGAGAGAGAGAGAGAGAGAGAGAGAGAGAGAGAGAGAGAGAGAGAGAGAGAGAGAGAGAGCATATAGATTCTGCTAATTTCAACCTAATATAGTAATTAAGCAGAAGACAAATCAGTGATGAAGACATCACATATGAATATAACATACATTTCTTAAAATGTGCTTTATCTAATCAATTGTGAAAAAGTACAGCACAGTGTCAATGAACTTCTTAGCCTAATCTTGTGGTAACTATGTCAACCGAGACTTGGCTGACTATTTCAATCTAACTGGTAATAATGTTTTCATATTACAAGAATTTCAGAGTAAACAGATATCCTGTGTGCTATAATAAGTAAATTCTCTATTTCTATCACCACAATAAAGTTTGGTCCTTATGACTTAACTGTTGGCAGAAACGTTTTTGGAAGTCTTCACTCATTCTGTTTTGGTGGGCACAGTAAATTCTAAAATCGACAACTGTACACGTGTGTGTGTGTGTGTGTGTGTGTGTGTGTGTGTGTGTGTGTGTGTGTGTGTGTGTGTGTGTGTGTGTGTGTGTGTGTGTGTGTGTTATATTATATGCATACATACATACATGCATGCATACCCATATACATACATATATATATATATATATATATATATATATATATATATATATATATATATATATATATACATATACACACATACACACGCACACATATATATACACATAGATATGTATATATATATATATATATATATATATATATATATATATATATATATATATATATATAATATGTGTGTGTGTGTTTATGTGTATGTATGTAGGGTTAATTTAGTACTGGTCCACACTTGGAGCAGCAAGGATGCGAGTCCCGGTCAGTGAGGATTGTTATTTATCTATATCAGTACAGCACTGCATTATTCCATCTTTCATAAATATCTCAGTCCATTATATATATATATATATATATATATATATATATATATATATATATATATCGTATGGCTGCCCATCGACCACCGACCTGGATATGACCATCAACTAATTTCACGACCTCTGCATGACCTGACATCGATTCACACCAACTGCGGGACTCGGAATACGTGGACGAGACATGGGGATTTGCTCGGGTTCGTGTTTCGGTCTGGTCGACTCAGAATGGGTTGTATGGGGAGTAAGGGCGAGGGAGGAGGAGAACGACCTTGGACGGCCTTGTGGAAGGACGTGTCTATGGCTGGTCGGTGGTCAGAGGAGCCGGGTTGTGGTTATGATGATTCACCTTTTATATTTGTAAGTTGACCTTATTTGTCACTCAGTATTTCAGTATTAGTTTATTTCAATATGAATATTATTTCCGGATGTGTTGTGTGAATATATGTTTGCGGATGAGGTGACTGATCACTGGTTAATAATAAAGTGGCTTTATACTCTCTACCTTTGCATACTTACATTATATTATTCTCAAATCCACAATATCATAAAAATGAAAGCTAAAAGGAAATAATAACCCTATAGTAGAGATGATTATAACACAGAAATTATACAAACCTAGTATATTGATGAGTGATTACTGATTAGCAAATATAACAAGATTAGAACAGAAAAGCAAGCATATGAATTAATGATTTGATAATCTTGATGAATAACGGAGCTAAGATATAACAAGCACAAGTAAACATAATTAACAATAATTAAGAAGTGATTACAGCAGAACTAACACATAAGAACATACGCGCTTACTAGTGGACCTAGAATTAAAAGAAACAAAAGGATATTTATAATTTGTATTACAATGACACTAAATTATATTAACTTAGATTGTGTTTTGTCATGCGCTCTGTTCTGCAACAACTAGAGTCATTGTTAATGAAGGAAAGCTACGTAACGAAATTGGGGGCCTGTCCGGGATGTCTTTTAAATCTTTGTGATATATATATATACATATATATACATATATATATATATATATATATATATATATATATATATATACATATATATACATATATATATACATAAATATATATATATATATACATATATAGATATACATATATGCATATATATGTATATATGTGTATTTAAATATGTATACATATATCTATATATAAATATGTATGTGTATACAGACACACATATGTATATATATATGTATACGTATATATACATATACACCCATCCATCCATACATATATATATATATGCATATATACACATATATATACGTATATAAACATATGTATGTGTGTGTGTTTGTCTGTGTGTACAGTACGTATGTATGTATATATATATACATATATACACATATGTACACACACACACACACACACACACACACACACACACACACACACACACACACACACACACACACACACACACACACACACACACACAATGCATCAGTGAGATATCTAATTACCCAACCGTACGAGATGCTGTCCACTTCAGCCGAGATAACTATCGTCGGTCGTACGATGACAGTTCAAATCGTTAGAAATTAAATCACGACCTTTTGTTGTTTATCAGATAGTTTTATTTACTGTCGTCTTATCGTGCAAAAGATAATGAGTTTTTTTCTTTAAACCCAATACCGCTGTGTTCATTCTTTTTTTTATTTTGCACATAGATGGCTCTGCTAGTGCTTAGCCACAAAGGTGTCAATTAATAGACCTTGTGGCTTTACCTAATTTCACCTTTCCTTGATTTGGTGGGGAAAAACTTTTTTTTTACTAATACTATGAATATCAACGGTGTTATTTTTATCATAGACATTATAATTACTATAATGTTATTGGCATTAGTAAGAGCAATTTAAAATAACGTAAAATAAATAAACAGGATAAAGGATAAACAGGCGAGACAAGCAGTACTCGTAAATTGCCTCATTGGTGACTTAATACAAGTGTAGCCATATATGCGTAAAAACAATTAATCAAGTAAATTCACAGAGGGCATGGCATGTACGTACATGTCATACCCGTCGGATATGAGTTAGTCCGCCATTCGATCTGTGCAGATGTAACATCTTCGTTTTTTTATTCATAAGATTGATAAGAAACAAGTTTTTAAGTGTGTGAATGTTTGTGTCTGTACGCGGTGCAACGTTTGATAAGGGTCGCTCCCACACACTGTCAAAAGATATCGCCTTCCAAG